TTTTTATCTAAAATCTAAAATGCTTAAGTATAGAGACAAATAGAAAATGTTAGCTTTACTGTTTAAATAAACTCAGCAAAAAAATAAAACGTCCCTTTTTCAGGACCCTGTCTTTCAAAGATAATTCGTAAAATTCCAAATAACTTCACAGACCTTCATTGTAAAGGGTTTAAACACTGTTTCCTTGCTTGTTCAATGAACCATAAAAAAATTGATGAACATGCACCTGTGGAACGGTCGTTAAGACACTAACAGCTTACAGACGGTAGGCAATTAAGGTCACAGTTATGAAAACGTAGGACACTAAAAGAGGCCTTTTTACTGACTCTCAAAAACACCAAAAGAAAGATCAGTACAGGATCAGTACATCCGAACATCACATCTGCGGGACAGGTAGGGGTGGGCGATATGAGCTAAAATTCATATCACGATATTTTCCACTGTCCAGACGATATCGATATGATATCACGATATATGACGTAAAAAAATATGAATCACATTTTAATATCCCTTCTTGGTTAAATTATATTAGTTAAGGAAAAATATGTATTTGAACCTTATATAACCAGAAAGAGTGAGGCATTGGACCGTATGGACCTGAAAAGTTTTTATTTGTATTGTGCAAACATGCATTCCGTAAACATGAGGTAGGTAGGCCTATATATATATATATATATATATATATATATAAATGAGATATTAAGTAAAATTAAATAAAAAATAACAGGAGATAAAGAAAATAAGGTAATTACAAATTCAAATACGTGTGTTTGTTTTGGCTACGGTCCGTAGATATGTAAAAAACTAACCGTTTGAAACTAAACCTTTCAAGCCTCAACCATCAATTATCAACAATATCAACAAATCTTCACTAGAACTTTCTTCACAAGTTCCGTGCCAGGAATACCAGCATGTTGACTGTTTCTGGCTTTAGTGCTGCCCTGTGACATGTCACCACATTGCCCCCAGTGCTGAATGCCCTCTCAGAGGGGGCACTTGTGGCAGGGATGCATAAGTATTTCTTTGCCAGACAACTCACACGTGGAAAATTAGATCCGTGAAATCGCCACCACTCCAAAGGATCAGACTCGCTGTCTGCTGCCGTTGCCAGAATGTAGCTATTCAGCTCTTGCTCAATGATCTGCCTCTCTGAACATGAGGCAGGTGCACTGCTGGTCTGCTTAAAGAAGCTCCCAAGGCTCTTCTTGGGCTTCTTGCCTGATTGATGAGCAGTGGAAGCTTCTTTCTCCCTGTCAGTGTGATCCTCTGCAAGAGACGATTTTCCCAGGGCTGTGTTCTCCACCAGGAGGGCTTCAGTCTCTGAGGCAGCTCTCACCTTAAAAAATGAAAATAATTAAACTTTATTTGTATAGCACCTTTCATACATAAAATGCAGCCCAAAGTGCTTTACATTTGAAGCAATAAAACAAGAACAAATGAATAAATACCTTAATGTCCTCCAGTTTCTCAGCGGACATGTACCTGGTCTTGAACCTTGGATCTAGAAAGGTAGCCATGGAGAGCAGCTCATCTGTTGCAGGGTCAGTGTACTTGTTATTCAAGTAATCAAGAACCTTGATCTTGATCTCTTTGGTCAGTTCTGTATCGTCCTTGCTCAGATTTAGAACCTCTGCATTTAACAGATTGATGACAGGCTTCAAATAGGACACGCTCACATACGCTTCTCCTGACAGGGCATCTGTAAAGTCCTGGAGTGGCTTCAGTGCTGCTGTGACTGATTCCAAGACCTGGATGTCTTGCCAGGTAGGTACAAGGTGCCGTGTCTTTTTGTCCCCTGCCAGGACCTGTGTAATGGCCTTTTCCTGCTCCAGGACTCTTTCCATCATTTTCAGACGAGATCCCCACCTTGTCGGAGATTCTGTGATGAGCTTGTGCAGGGGCAGGCTTAGTTCATTCTGTGCTGTCATCAGGGCCTTCTGCTTTTTCCAGCTGTATGAGAACGTGCTAACCACCTTTTTGCAAACCCCTGTGGCCCGGGAAATCGCACACCCCTGTGGCCCGGGAGCGTTTTGGACACTCCTCTCTGGAAATTGGGAATAAGAAATCAAAATAATAGGGTGAAAAATAATCGAATCACAATACAATAATAATTAATAATAATGCATTTTTATATAGAAATCACAATACAATATAACTTTTAATCTTTGTTTGAGGATTTACGGCATTTACATTCAACTGTTACACATTTTACAAATCTGATGTGCTTAGATTTAGCCTACGGTACATGGCTGATGTGAGCTGTATTTTTTCTTAATAATAAGCATCATACAGGGTAGGCCTAGGCTACAGTCCTGAAACTTACCAATAGCATTGTGCAGCCTGTGTCCGAAACATCCAAGGTTTGCCCACTTGTTCAGCTGCAATGCCTTGATCATGTTCGATCCGCTGTCGGTCGTCATACAAACTTGACGCGACTCTTTTAATCCCCAGGACGACAGTATGTCCCTCAGCCCACCTGCAATTATTTCCCCGGTGTGGTCGTCTGGGAAATAAGACGTCTGTAGGCACTTACTTTTCAGTTTCCAGTCACCGTCTATGTAATGGATTGTGAGGCTTATATAAGGTTCTGTGGTACGACTTGACCATAGATCGGCAGTAGTGGAGAAGAATGGAATGTTATTTATCTCACTGTAAACTCTGTCCCAGCATTCTGTGTAAAGCTGTGGCAGGCATTTTTGGCTAAAATATTTGCGGCTCGGGATCTCATATCTTGGGTCCAGAGTTTGAATCAACTTTCTGAACCCCTCTTTCTCCACAGTTTGAATCGGTACCATGTCCTTCGCTATGTGATTTGTAATCGCAGCTGTGATGTCTATCCATTTTTTGCTCGTCTTCTCATAGCAAGTACCGGCAGCAAATGATGATATAATTGATTGTTGAGTGCGAGTCTGGCTTGTCTTCGGGCGAGCTCCTGGGCTTACTGTCTCACGCATTCTGGTGCATTGTTCATACTCACGGACATGTATGTTTTTTAAGTGATTGAACAGGTTGGTCGTGTTTCCACCTTTTGCTAAGACAACACGACGACACAACTTGCATAGGGTAGTGTTTTGGTCGGGGTCGGAGATTTTAAAGCCAAACCAGTTCCAAACAACAGAGGTGCCCCCTTTCTTCTTAACCAATTTATCCTCCTGCTCTTGAGCAACATCAATTTCTGTGTTTTCGCTCATCCTGGATTGTAAAGTTTTCCCCCAATAGTTAACCTGCCTCCTAACTGCAGCTGCCTGCACACTTCTTTGTTGCTAGCACTACATGCGTGCAACAAGTGCATGCGACGTGCGCTCATAAAAATAGGTCAACATATTAACATACATTCTTTTATTCGTAAGAACCAAGAAAGGTTGGATAAAAAAAAAAAAAAAAAGATGTAGCTACTTAGTACTATCACTCAGTTGAAATTTGGAACAAACAAATATTGATGCAAAATTCGAATTTATGAATTCTGAATAAATCGCGGTATCCATGATATTGCTAAATCCATATCATGGCGCGGCACAATACCGGTTTTTACTATCAAACCGGTATATCGCCCACTCCTAGGGACAGGTACAGGATGGCAACAACAACAACTGCCCGAGTTACACCAGGATCGCACAATCCCTCCAACAGTGCTCAGAGTGTCCGCAATAGGCTGAGAGAGGCTGGACTGAGGGCTCGTAGGCCTGTTGTAAGGCAGGTCCTCACCAGACATCACCGGCAACAACATTGCCTATGGGCACAAACCCACAATCGCTGGATCAGACAGGACTGGCAAAAAGCGCTCTTCACTGACAAGTCGCGGTTTTGTCTCACCAGGGGTGATGGTCGGATTCGCGTTTATCGTCGAAGGAATGAGCGTTACACCGAGGCCTGTACTCTGGAGCGTCACAGCATCATCGGACTGAGCTTGTTGTCATTGCAGGCAAGCAATCTCAATGCTGTGCGTTACAGGGAAGACATCCTCCTCCCTCATGTGGTACCCTTCCTGCAGGCTCATCCTGACATGACCCTCCAGCATGACAATGCCACCAGCCATACTGCTCGTTCGGTGCGTGATTTCCTGCAAGACAGGAATGTCAAGTGTTCTGCCATGGCCAGTGAAGAGCCCGGATCTCAATCCCATTGAGCACGTCTGGGACCTGTTGGATCGGAGGGTGAGGGCTAGGGCCATTCCCCCCAGAAATGTCAGGAAACTTGCAGGTGCCTTGGTGGAAGAGTGGGGTAACATCTCACAGCAAGAACTGGCAAATCTGGTGCAGTCCATGAGGAGGAGATGCACTGCAGTTCTTAATGCAGCTGGTGGCCACACCAGATACTGACTGTTACTTTTGATTTTGACCCCCCCCTTTGTTCAGGGACACATTATTCAATGTCTGTTAGTCACATGTCTGTGGAACATGTTCAGTTTATGTCTCAGTTGTTGAATGTTGTTATGTTCATACAAATATTTACACATGTTAAGTTTGCTGAAAATAAACGCAGTTGACAGTGAGGACGTTTTTCTTGTGCCGAGTTTACATATTGAGGGGAGTGTAGCTTCTATTGGTCCACAAGAGAGCTGATATAGCAGCGGTCACACACAGACTGGACTGATTGGCCTGCGGCCCGACGTCCCAGTTAGCTGAGACCAAACAGACCAAATTAGGGAGTGACTAACCTGAACTTGTCCAATAAGAAATCTAAATTTTTGGTTGCAAAACGTTATGATGTGCACTAATGATTACACCCCAAGTAATGATGCTGATGAACACGCGTGGCTCAGTTGGTAGAGCATGGCTCTTGCAACACCAGGGTTGTGGGTTCAACTACCACAGGTGGACCAGTATGAAAAATGTATGCACACACACTACTGTAAGTCGCTCTGGATAAGAGCATCTGCTAAATGTAAAATGTCTAAAATCACAAATGTAGTTCCTCTCCATTTCAGTCAATTTTCTTCCGTTTGGTGCCTAACAAACAGGACCCAAGTCTTATTCAAGACACTCGGGCAGCTTACCGTCTGTGAGAGTAGCAGACAGGAGCACGTTCTGCCTGGGAGGTCCAGTGGCATTCAAGGAATTGAGGATCACAGTCAGGTCCTTCTCAAAGCCCAGGTCCAGAATCCTACACCCCGAAACAGAACCAAAACCACTCATTATCCATAAAGCAAAGCCAGATACACAATGTAGTGTTGGCAGGAAGAAGTAAACGGCAACAACTGTGAGGGCCTTTGGCGCTAAAATAGAGGAGGTCAAAGAGTGTGTGTGTGTGTGTGTACCTGTCAGCCTCGTCCAGGATGAGCCACCGGACAGCGCTGAACGCTATGCTCAGAGTGTTCTTGATGTGGTCCACCAGTCGGCCCGGCGTGGTAATCAGAATATTGATCCCTTTACGCAGTCTGAACACAGACAGACAGGACTGTAAGCACTCACAACACACACTGAGCCCAGGTTTTATCCACTGACTCCAATTATAGTGAAAGCTGCCCCCTTCTAACCAAACGTAAGTAGCTACCAAGAGTAAATCTATGGGAAAAAATAATAACCTGGCTTTCTCTGCCTTCCTCTTCTCTCCCCCCATCAGGACTCCGGGCACAATCCAGGTGAAAGGCTGGCAAGAAGAGAGGGATGGGAATGAAGGTACAGTCAAATAGGCAGAGAGCCTGTGAGAAGCAGAGAGCCAGGGGAAAAGAGCCCGTCACTGACTGTGGCTGTAGTGCTTTGCTGGCAGAGAAACAAGGGACGCGTCCCAAAAGACACCCATACTCCCTATGTAGGGCACTACTTTTGACCAGAGCCCTATGAGCATTGGTAAAAAGTAGTGCACTAGATAGGGAATAGGGTGTCATCTGGGGCACATCCTTACTGTACCTTGAGGAGCTTCTGGAAGATCTGGAAGCTCTGCTGGGCCAGCTGAGGGGGAACAGAAATCAAGAAGAAATCTAAATGGTTATGACAAACTCAACATCCATTATGTGAGTGTATGCTTGTTGTATAAATGACAACTTCACAGTGACTCATTGTATAACACATGCACCCAGTCAGGCAGGTTAGAGGGGGAGAGATGAACAAGTGGGAGAGAGAAGAGAGAAAATGACCTGGGCATACCTCTCTGGTGGGGACCACGATGACAGCAAGAGGCCCATCCCCTCTCTGGAGAATGGATATGCAGAAGGTTTAGACACACGGACATAGGGTTGCAACTCTGGTAACTTTCCAAAACATTTCCTGAAATACTGGTTGAAGGATTCCTGGGACTTCCTGCTCATTCCCTCCTGACTTCTTCTAATATAGATTTCTAAAAACCCTGGGAATTTTGCAACCCTACATGCACATAATCTCACTATTCTTAAGCAACGAGCTGGTCATCCTCTGACATTAAAGCAGTTCCCTGGATATCATCCGAATAATATGTTGACCTCTTTAAAATTAATTTTAAAGCTATCAGTGTACTTGCCTTAATTTTGGGTTCCACTGCTTGTAAAGACTGAACAAGCGGTATCCCGTAGGCAAGAGTTTTCCCTAGACATTACAAAAGGAAAACATTTCACTTTAGAGGATTATTACTCTCACAAAGCTCTAAAAATAAATAAAACATATGCATCCTCTCCAAACAACATTGCTGAATGATTCAATCTGTACATTCTTCCATGGTAATTAGGCTCTACTAGGAACATGCAGCGCATTCGGAAAGTATTCAGACCCCTTGACTTTTTCCACATTTTGTTACGTTACAGCCGTATTCTAAAATTGATTAAATTGTTTCCCCCCCCTCATTAATCTCCCCATAATGACAAAGCAAAAACTGGTTTAGAAATGTTTGCAAAGTTATTAAAAATAAAAACAGAAATATCACATTTACATAGGTATTCAGACCCTTTACTCAGTACTTTGTTATAGCACCTTCCGCAGCGATAACAGCTTCAAGTCTTCTTGGGTATGACGCTACAAGCTTGGCACAGCTGTATTTGGGGAGTTTCTCCCATTCTGCTCTGCAGATCCTCTCAAGCTCTGTCAGGTTGGATGGGGAGTGTCGCTGCACAGCTATTTTCAGGTCTCTCCAGAGATGTTCGATCGGGTTCAAGTCCGGGCTCTGGCTGGGCCACTCTAGGACATTCAAAGACTTGTTCCTGAAGCCACTCCTGCGTTGTCTTGGCTGTGTGCTTAAGGTCGTTGACCTGTTGGAAGGTGAACGTTCGCCCCCAGTCTGAGGTCCTCAGCGCTCTGGAGCAGGTTTTCATCAAGGATCTCTCTGTACTTTGCTCCGTTCATCTTTCCCTCGATCCTGACTAGTCTCCCAGTCCCTGACGCTGAAAAACATCCCCACAGCATGATGCTGCCACCACCATGCTTCACCGTAGGGATGGTGCCAGGTTATGTCCAGACGTGACGCTTGGCATTCAGGCATTTGGCAAACTCCAAGCGGCCTGTCCTGTGCCTTTTACTGAGGAGTGGCTTCCGTTTGGCCACTCTACCATAAAGCCCTGATTGGTGGAGTGCTGCAGGGATGTTTTTCCTTCTGGAAGGTTCTCCCATCTCCACAGAGGAACTCTGGAGCTCTGTCAGAGTGACCATTGGGTTCTTGGTCACCTCCCTGACCAAGGCCCTTCTCCCCCGATTGCTCAGTTTGGCCGGGCGGCCAGCTCTAGGAAGAGTCTTGATGGTTCTTTGGGACCTTCAATGCTGCAGACACTTTATGGTACCCTTCCCCAGATCTGTGCCTTGACACAATCCTGTCTTGGAGCTCTACGGACAATTCCTTTGACCTCATGGCTTGATTTTTGCTCTGATATGCACTGTCAACAGTGGGACCCTATATAGACATGTGTGTGCCTTTCCAACTCATGTCCAATCAATTTAATTTAGCACAGGTGGACTCCAATCAAGTTGTAGAAACATCTCAAGACAGGATGCACCTGAGCTCAATTGAGTCTCATAGCAAAGAGTCTGAATACTTTTGCAAATAAGGTATCGTTTTTAATCATTTTTATAAATTTGCAAAAATGTCTAAAAGATTTAAGGGGTTGTGTGTAGATTGATGAGGAAAAAATTAAGGTATTCAATTTTAGAATAAGGCTGTAACGTAACAAAATGTGGAAAAAGTCAAAGGGTCTGAATACTTTACGAATGCACTGTATGTGGAATATATGCTAAATAATATGCAGTCAAACATCAAAAGGAAGCATAAAGAGCTTGAAATGTGTCCTACCCGATCCTGTTTGAGAGCGCACTACAGCGTCTCGACCAGACAAGAGGACAGGAATGGTCTCCTTCTGGACACTGCAGAGGTAAACAGTGTTAGGTAACAGTGTTAGATCTGTGAGCTTCTTGAACGCTGAGGACAGTTGGCAGGCATGCGTTCCAAATAGCACCCTACTCCCTATATTATAGTGCACTATATAGGGAATAGGATGCAATTTGGTTAGAAAACTACTAATGGAGGCTTTACCTGGTCATAGTGGTCACATTCAGCACCTTGGTCAGCGTCGCCACCTGATGCAGGAACAAATTCACAGTTAGCCAACAGACTCAAAAGGGCCACTGATCTACAAGACACATTGTAAAGGAGAACTATCATCTTGACAATGACCGTGGTCTAGACTGTAGCTACGATGACCTGGGTCATATTCATAAGGCACCAAACGGAAGAAAACAGACTAAAACAGAGATGGACTACCTGAACTTGTCCCGTGTCCAATCAGACACGCTTGTTTTTGTTTTCTGTTGCAATAATGTTTTGCTACAGTGCGCCCTAATGAACACGACCCTAGAGAAAATATATACTGTTGAGGTTAGGTGTGAATGTTAAAATGTTTAAATGAAATTGGGACTAAGGTTAAGAAATAAATCCCTAACCAAAAAACTGTGTTTTTCAACGTCACAGTGCAGTTATCACAAAACAACCACTAACAGGTCCCAATCATCATAAAGATATATATTTTTTAACAAATACCTAACGCAACAATGCTGTAACATTAGTAGGAGATATGAATCTTTCAAATGATTTGCCACGGATATAAAGCGCTCTGTACATCATCGTCGTTAAGTTGAAAAAATGGCAGAGAAAGGCAAGTGACAGCAGCGAACAGCCTGCTCTGTCCCGAGTCAGAACCGTATAGAGTCTGCTGATGCGCTATGCTTTTAGCTGACCCAACGTTACAACGCAGCGATTGGTGCTTTGGAAACATGCTGAAGTATGGACTGAAACGGACTGCTAGGAACATGTCTTTAACTTCAACAGCAAGATGTCAAAACAGTGCAGTGCCCAACATCCTTAGCTAGCTAGCTAAAATTCCATCCCTGTGTTTGTCAAATCAAATCTTATTTGCCACATGCGCCGTATAAAACAGGTGTAGACATTACCGTGAAATGCTTACTTACAAGCCCTTAACCAACAATGCATTAATTTTATTTATAAAAAAGTAAAATAAAACAAAAAAGTGCATAAATAATTAACAGAGTAGCAGCAGTGTAAAAAGATGGGGTGGGGGTGGGGGGGGCAGTGCAAATAGTCCGGGTAGCCATGATTAGCTGTTCAGGAGTCTTATGGCTTGGGGGTAAAAGCTGTTGAGAAGCCTTTTGGACGTAGACTTGGCGCTCCGGTACCGCTTGCCGTATAACTTTTTGAGGATCTGAGGACCCATGCTAAATCTTTTCAGTCTCCTGAGGGGAATAGGCTTTGTCGTGCCCTCTTCACGACTGTCTTGGTGTGTTTGGACCATGATAGTTTGTTTGTGATGTGGACACCAAGGAACTTGAAGCTCTCAACCTGTTCCACTACAGCCCCGTCGATGAGAATGGGGGCGTGCTCAGTCCTCTTTTTTTTTCCTGTAGTCCACAATCATCTCCTTTGTCTTGGTCACGTTGAGGGAGAGGTTGTTATCCTGGCACCACACGGCCAGGTCTCTGACCTCCTCCCTGTAGGCTGTCTCATCGTTGTCGGTGATCAGGCCTACCACTGTTGTGTCGTCGTCAAACTTAATGATGGTGTTGGAGTCGTGCCTGGCCATGCACCCCGAGGGGCCCCCGTGTTGAGGATCAGCGTGGCAGATGTGTTGTTACCTACCCTTACCCTCAGTGAAGCTAGCTAGCAGTAGGCATGCTACAACAAGCTAAATGAGTTGATGAAATCCCTGGCGACCGATATACTTGCACATATTTTGTGCAGGAGTAGAGATGTCGTTTTTACAACTTTCTCACAGCCTATCAGAGTATGCGTCTGTGTCTGCTCCAGTGACCGTGTTAAATAGCGAATGGGTCATGCACAAGACCGGTTGAGACAATGCTCAGAAATGAATTTTGAAATATTGTTACATGGCAGTTGGGACGTCGGGTGCGCATCGTCTCAATGTTCATTTTGGCCTAAATAATTACAGACTTGAGTAATCACTATCAAACACAACAGCAAGAGGTCACTCGATAAAGGGCTTAAGGGCCAAGCGTTCGGTTTATGACTGCGGTAGATAGCACTTCATTGCACCCTAGCGGTCATACGCAATAGGACCACCATACACAATAGGACCATATTCTGCATTATGATTTCACGTTTTCCATTTGTCACATCCCTAGTTTAGGTGCTCACCAGGTGGGGGTGAAGGTCCAGCTCGCCAAATGAGTCGCTGGTGAAGACTTTCTCCTTCAGCTGGGTCACAGCAGGCCTGCAGTCACAGCCAGTGGAGGGGTTACTACTAACCACACAACCTTTCACAAAGCAGGAGTAACAAACCCTCTAACCCTCCGTCCAAGCCTGGTTTTTCTTAAGACTGTACTACTATCATGACAAATAATTGTATTTGTAATAAGTCTTGGACCTTATCAGACATAATGTTGTCAGCAAACCATTAGAGGTGTATAGAAAGTAGACTACTTTAATAAAGGCTTGATTCAAGATCGAGACCACACAGGTCCACAGCCAGGTGCAACATTTATAACTAAAAACCCTCCCATATGAGTGACCATCGTCATTGAAAGGACCTACCTGTGGACGTCTGGGATATCTGGGTTATTTCTGAAGAGGGAAGAAGTCTTTATGAACACACTGTCCTCTCCTCCTTTGTGTTCCCCTACATGTTTACTTTTTGGAGGCATTTTTGGCTGGGCTTGGGATCTCTGGGCAGCCTTTGGTGCTGACTTGTGGACAGGGCTTTTATGGGCTGGTACATCCTCTTCTTCCTTGTCCTCAGGGGGCAGTTGGTCCTTGGTCTTAGGCCCATTGAACACTTGTTTATTAGGTAACCCTTTCTGTATTTCGGAGTATTTTCGTTTCTGTGCTTTTTTCTGGAAATTAAAACAAAAATATGTAATAGCTATTCAGAGATTAACTGTGAACAAGGTAACAAAAAGAGGAAGGTAGTTGCAATGTACATGTGCTGACAATGAGAGGTCTACCTTGCCAAGTACCTCAACTCCACAATGATTTCATCCATGGAGTTGAGCGCATACTAGTTTTTAAAAAAATAATGAAACTCCAACTCGCTATGAAGTCGATATTTTAAAAATTTACATTCTTAAACGTTTATCATGTACTTATGTTTGTCCTCTGTTGTTGCTTGCCTTTGTTTGCTGAACACATACTTTTTTAATAAAACGTTAATCAAATACAACAACTGACTGTTTCCTCATTGCTTGCTGTCAGATAGCAATTCAGCGCGAATGTGCATGTGCCAATTGAATATCAACTGAATATCAACAAGTAAACAGTCGGTGTTTGTATTTGATTCACGTTATCAAAAAAAAGTATGATTTCAGAAAACAAAGGCACACGGTAAGGGCGACTCGAATGAGTCGGAGGTTAATTTAAAAAGACTATAGTCCGCACTCAACTCCAAGGAGTTGAGGTACTTGGCAAAGGTGTAACAAAACGTGACATTTTTGACCAGAGTTGACCTACCAAAGCCCATTTCTCCTGAGACGTTGGTCTCTGATGACTCTTCGAGTGTAAAGCTGGAGCTGAGTCTGATGAGAGGTTCAACATCAACATATCCTCTGCCATGGTGACTGGTGGATGTGATACACGTGCCTCTACAACACACACACACAACAAATGATCACATAGCTTGCTAGTTGTACATGTCTGGTACAGCTAAATGTAACATTATAATAATAACATAATGTGAATGTAAAGTTAAAACAAGTGTGTCAGTCCTAGCCAGAAAACGTTACCTTCACAAGTCTAGTGCTATGAGATGAGAGGCACCGATTCACACGTGTGTGCAGTTAGCTAGCAGCCGTAGGCTAGCTAGATAGCTACTGACAGCTTCTACTGCTATACTGACAGTCAGCAGTCTTCCTCCTCCACGTTAGTCTCACAAAGAATATACTGCTGCAATAAACCGATTGAATTTCAATTTACAAACAGCAAGTACAAACAAACAAAAAAAGTGTTTTTGTTTTAGATCATGGACGTCCTGGATTTGGGTCCCTTCTCTTTCAACGTCACTTCCCTGCGCGTTCCCATTTTGTTCACGTGCGTCGATTTTGCGCAACAGCTGAGGACATGTCTAGACGGGATACAGCTTTTGTCAAATTGACGTCATAAGTAGATAAAACAATAAAATAAAAAATAGCTAACCCTTTTTCTAACATGAACCTAATTCTCCTAACCTGCTGTGTAAATTCTCCTAAACCTGCTACGAAAAGTCAATTTTGACAAAAGCTGTAGCCCTTCTAGTCAAAATCAACAGCAGATGGATTGGACCAAAGATTCTCTCTATTAATGAGGGTTGTTGTACAAAACAAAGTCATCAGCGATTGGATCATCTCTAACCAATCAGTATCAAATCTAATGACGAAATGTAAAACGCTGCTTTACCCACGTGTGTTCTGGCTCTGGCCCAACCCATCGGTTTCTGGTATCAGATGGTCTAGAATGAAAATTCCATTCTAGAAATCGTTGAGGAGGTACTCAGTTCCAGACTCAAGCACCATTTACATGCACAGTAATAATTCGATATTAAACTGATCATGGCAGTAGGCAGATTATGCAATAGTCATGTAAACACCTTACTCTGATTATCTTAATGTGTCGGAGGAAACACCATACAACTGGCAACCGTGTCAGTTTGCATGCATCCGGCCCACCACAGGAGTCGCTAGAACACGATGGGACAAGGACATCCCAGCCGGCCAAACCCTCCCCTAAACCGGATGACGCTGGGCCAATTGTGCACCGCCTCATGGGTCTCCCGGTCGCGGCGGGCTGCGACACAGCCCAGGATCGAACCCGGATCTGTAGTGACGCCGCTAGCACTGCGATGTAGTGCCTTAGACCGCTGCGCCACTCGGGACCCATCTACTCATTTGAATTCCATGCTGTCACAGTCACTAGCCCATTCAAGCTTAACATCCTTTAACATCCCTTGGAGAGTTCATCAATGAGCTTGACGCCTTGATAAGTTCCTTTCCTGAGGATGGCTCACCCCTCACAGTTCTGGGTGACTTTAACCTCCCTACGTCTGCCTTTGACTCATTTCTCTCTGCCTCCATCTTTCCACTCCTTTCCTCTTTTGACCTCACCCTCTCACCGTCCCCCCCTACTCACAAGGCAGGTAATACGCTTGACCTCATCTTTACTAGATGCTGTTCTTCTACTAATCTCACTGCAACTCCCCTCCAAGTCTCCGACCACTACTTTGTATCCTTTTCTCTCTCGCTGTCCTCCAACACTACTCACTCTGCCCCTACTCCGATGGTAATGTGCCGTCGCAACCTTCGCTCTCTCTCTCCCGCTACTCTCTCCTTTTCCATCCTATCATCTCTTCCCTCTGCTAAATCCTTCTCCCTCCGATCTCCTGATTCTGCCTCCTCAACCCTCCTCTCCTCCCTTTCTGCATCGTTTGACTCTCTATGTCCCCTATCCTCCCGGCCGGCTCGGTCCTCCCCTCCTGCTCCGTGGCTTGACGACTCATTGCGAGCTCACAGAAGAGGGCTCCGAGCGGAAATTGAGCAAAACTAGACTCCCTGCGGACCTGTCATCTTTTCACTCCCTCCTCTCTACATTCTCTTCCTCTGTTTCCGCTGCCAAAGCCACTTTCTACCACTCTGAATTTCAAGCCTCTGCCTCTAACCCTAGGAGGCTCTTTGCCACCTTCCCCTCCCTGCTGAATCCTCCTCCCCCTCCCCCTCCCTCCTCCCTCTCTGTGGATGACTTCGTCAACCATTTTGAAAAGAAGGTTGACGACATCCGATCTTCATTTATTATGTCAAATGACACCGCTGGTCCTGCTCACACTGCCCTACCCTATGCTTTGACTTCTTTCTCCCCTCTCTTTCCAGATGAAATCTTGCGACTTGTGACGGCCGGCCGCCCAACAACCTGCCCGCTTGACCCTATCCCCTCCTCTCTTCTCCAGACCATTTCCGGAGACCTTCTCCCTTACCTCACCTCGCTCATCAACTCATCCTTGACCGCTGGCCATGTCCCTTCCATCTTCAAGAGAGCGAGAGTTGCACCCCTCCTCAAAAAACCTACGCTCGATCCCTCCGATGTCAACAACTACAGACCAGTATCCATTCTTTATTTTCTCTCCAAAACTCTTGAGCGTGCCGTCTCTAGCCAACTCTCCTGCTATCTCTCTCAGAATGACCTTCTTGATCCAAACCAGTCAGGTTTCAAGACTGGTCATTCAACTGAGACTGCTCTTCTCTGTGTCACGGAGGCTCTCCGCACTGCTAAAGCTAACTCTCTCTCCTCTGCTCTTGTCCTTCTAGACCTATCCGCTGCCTTTGATACTGTGAACCATCAGATCCTCCTCTCCACCCTCTCCGAGTTGGGCATCTCCGGCGCTGCTCACTCTTGGATTGCGTCCTACCTGACAGGTCGCTCCTACCAGCTGGCGTGGAGAGAATCTGTCTCCGCACCACATGATCTCACCACTGGTGTCCCCCAGGGCTCAGTTCTAGGCCCTCTCCTATTCTCTCTATACACCAAGTCACTTGGCTCTGTCAAATCCTCACATGGTCTCTCCTATCATTGCTACGCAGATGACACACAATTAATTTTCTCCTTTCCCCCTTCTGGCAGACATATCAGTGTGGATGTCGGATCACCACCTCAAGCTGAACCTCGGCAAGACGGAGCTGCTCTTCCTCCCGGGGAAGGACTGCCCGCTCCATGATCTCGCCATCACGGTTGACAACTCCATTGTGTCCTCCTCCCAGAGTGCAAAGAACCTTGGTGTGACCCTGGACAACACCCTGTCGTTCTCCGCTAACATCAAAGCGGTGACCCGATCCTGCAGGTTCATGCTCTACAACATTCGCAGAGTACGACCCTGCCTTACACAGAAAGCGGCACAGGTCCTAATCCAGGTTACTTGTCATCTCCCGTCTGGATTACTGCAACTCGCTGTTGGCTGGGTTCCCTGCCTGTGCCATTAAACCCCTACAACTTATCCAGAACGCTGCAGCCCGTCTGGTTTTCAGCTGTGAGGGGAACGGCACCTCCTTACCTTCAGGCTCTGATCAGACCCTACACCCAAACGAGGGCACTACGTTCATCCACCTCTGGCCTGCTAGCTCCCCTACCTCTACGGAAGCACAGTTCCCGCTCAGCCCAGTCAAAGCTATTCGCTGCTCTGGCACCCCAATGGTGGAACAAGCTCCCCCACGACGCCAGGACAGCGGAGTCACTGACCACCTTCCAGAGACACTTGAAACCCTACCTCTTTAAGGAATACCTGGAATAGTATAAAGTAATCCTTCTACCCCCCCCCCACCCCCACTCACAAAAAAAGAAGAAGAAAAAAAGAAGAAAAGTGGTTGTCCCACTGGCTATCATAAGTTGAATGCACCAATTTGTAAGTCGCTCTGGATAAGAGCGTCTGCTAAATGATGTAAATGTAAAATGTAAATGATGCTAAACACCTGGTTTTCTAAGTAATCTTTAGAATTAGTAGGGCATGTAAATACCTTGATCAGCGTTCCAGCTGTGCATTTGATCTGCGCATGTGCTAGCACCAGCTGAGCGAGCCTCACTCTTTAGCGCAAGTGAAGTGAGTTCAGAAAAACGGAATGTATGCATCTTAGGTTGTGTCTACTTGACACTTAAAGGAGGTTCATGGTCAATCCGAAATCTACATTGGGCAGAGCAGTATTTTAGGGTGATATGGCCTCTGCAGAAGTCAGGGCATTCATACTTCTTGCGTTTCGCCGAGCAGCACAGAGCTGTTGTGAAGGAAGTTGTCAAGGAAGTGAGTTTGTGTTTATACAGAACCTCCCGCCCTCACCTACCTTCAACCAATCATGTCAATGTGGAGCTATACCGAGCCCTCCACATTGTTACAAAATTTGGGAGGCACATGGCTATGTGGTATGGAGCTCAATTTGGCCTCTGTGTACCTCTGGAGGCTCCGCATTTGTGTCACACCATCCATTACTGCGCCTCAGACCACATTGCTGATCAAGCATACATTGGTTATAAATCTTATATGCCACTATCAGAATATGAAGATTGCATTGAAAAGACGTGCCTAGATGCACAAAAGTCGCTTTGTGGTCTGATTGTGTTCAGATCTGGCTGACCACTTCCGGATGTGGTCAGGGATGCATTGTGTGCAGATATCGCAGAGCCAATTTATGCTTGATCAGAAAATGTATCCGAAAATGTGGTCAGAGGGTGAATGGATGGTGTGACCCAATGCAGAGCCCTGGAGGCATGGAGAGGCCAAATTGAGCTCCATACCGCATCACCATGGGCCTCTCTCAAATTGCGTAACAATGCGGATGGCTCCTCATTGACATGATTGGTTGACGGTAGGTGAGGGTGGGAGGTCCTGTATAAACACAAACTCACTTCCTTAATAACTTCCTTCACAACAGCTCTGCGCTGTTTGGCGAAGCGCAAGAAGTATGAATGCCCTGACATCTGCAGAGGCCATATCACAGTAAATGCTGCATGGCCAATGCAGATCTCGGACTGACCATGCAGTGCCTTTAAGGGGTCTACACAGAATAAACAAACAGGGCCGATGGAGCGTAGCACAGTGTTGCAAGGTTGTTTTCCTGGGCACCTGGCTTGTCC